ACCGGATCCCTCTTGATCCCGAGGCCCGACCTGTCAAATAGAAACTCAGAAGGATCCGTCCTGATTGGGCCATTAAGATCAAGGAAGAGGTCACCAAGCAAATTGATGCAGGCTTCATGTTGGTATCCGAATACCCGACTTGGTTGGCCAACATTGTTCCAGTGCCGAAGAAGGATGGCAAGATCCGAGTATGTGTGGATTTCAGGGATTTGAATAGAGCCAGTTCGAAGGACGACTTCCCCCTGCCGCATATTGATGAGTTGGTAGATTTTACAGCGGGGCATGCTTTGCTCTCGTTTATGGATGGCTTCTCAGGATACAACCAGATAGTGATGGCACCCGAAGACTGGGAGAAGACTGCTTTCACCACCCCGTGGGGGACCTACTGTTACAAAGTGATGCCATTTGGGTTGAAGAATGCTGGGGCCACGTATCAACGGGCTGCAACCACGATACTGCATGATATGATCCACAAGGAAGTTGAGGTGTACGTGGATGACATGATTGTCAAGTCCAAAGAAAGAGAAGGCCACTACACCGCTTTGCAAAAGTTCTTTCAAAGGATCAGAGAGTTTCGGCTGCGGCTAAATCCTCAGAAGTGTACATTCGGTGTTACAGTGGGGAAAATGCTAGGGTTTCTGATTACACAAAGGGGCATCGAAGTCGACCCTTCCAAAATCAAGGCCATCTTAGAAATGCCACCACCAAGGACTAAAAAGGAGGTGCGAGGCTTTCTAGGTAAAGTGCAATTCATAAGACAATTTATTGCACAATTAACGTTGACCTGTGAACCACTGTTTGGTCTCCTAAAGAAAGGAAGAAATTCCAGATGGACGGCCGATGTCAAGCACTTTTCGAGCAGATCAGAGGTTCTACAGAACCCAGGGGAGACCGTTGATATTGTCTGGTCAGGTAACTGAGACTACCATGGGCTGCATGCTCGCACAAGAGTCAGAGGACAAGGTGGAAAGGGCCATCTACTATCTGAGCAAGAAGATGCTGGATTACGAGACCCGCTACACTCCGCTGGAGAAGGCTTGCTTGGCCTTGGTATGGGCTACCAGGAAGCTGCGGCACTACCTGTTAGCTCACTCTGTAATGTTGGTTTCACGCTTGGATCCCATCAAATATCTTTTCGAGAAACCGGCACTTACGGGTAGGCTAGCTCGCTGGCTGCTGTTGCTCTCAGAGTTTGATTTGAAGTATGTAACACGCAAGTCAGTAAAAGGAAGAGCAGTAGCGGAGTTCCTTGCCGACCACCCGGTTGAAGGCGATGAAGCGGTTGAGTACCTGTTCCCGGATGAAGCCATTCTGCACGTTGAAGATGAAACTTGGACGATGTACTTTGACGAAGCGTCGAACCAGTATGGGTATGGGATAGGAGTGTTGCTGATAGCGCCGGACGATTCTCGTATCCCTTTAGCATTCAAGCTCCAGTTCAAAGTCTCGAACAATGAAGCAGAATATGAGGCATGTATTGCCGGCCTAGAAGCAGCCCTAGAACTAGGGGCAAGGCGGTTGGACGTCATTGGAGACTCGAACCTTGTTGTGTCTCAAGCAAAAGGAGACTGGAAAGTTAAAGAGGAAAGGATGATAATTTACCACCAAACCTTGGATTTGTTAATTCCTCGATTTGAGAAGCTAAATTTCACCCACCTAGTAAGAGAAAACAACAGGTTCGCGGATTCACTAGCAACTCTATCTTCCATGATAGACATCCCGTCCGGAGTCCGGATGCGTCCAGTCATTATTGATCAGAAGTTTGCGCCAGCATACGAAACAATTTCAGCCATAGATGAGGCTCAGGACGACAACCCCTGGTATTACGACATTTGGAACTTCTTGGAAAATGAGGCGTATCCACAAGGGGCAAATGCCAAGGATAAAAGGGCAATCAGAAGAATGGCTGTTCAGTTCATCATCTGCGGGGGTAAGCTGTACAAGAGGGGCCATCTGGGAATGCATAAGCTCTGTGTAGAAGCTGAAGAATCGAAGCGCCTGATGGAGACCATCCATGGAGGGGAGTGCGGTGCACACATGAATGGAGTAATGTTAGCCAGAAAGATCCTCAGACAGGGCTACTACTGGTCTACAATGGAAGAGGATTGTATCGGTTTTGTTCGGCGATGCCATAAATGCCAGATCCATGCGAACCGCATGAACATCTCGCCGTCAAAGTTGTATAACATGACTTCGCCATGGCCATTTTCGGTTTGGGAAATTGATGTGATCGGGGCTGTTACTCCGAAGGGATCAAACGGGCATGAGTTCATCCTAGTAGGGATAGATTATTTCACGAAATGGGTCGAGGCCCAATCATATGCGGTGTTGAAAGCGTCGCACGTTGCAAAGTTCATCAGAAACAACATCATCTGTCGCTACGGGGTGCCAAATGAAATTATTTCGGATAATGGTTCCCATTTTAAGAAGGAAGTAATTGACTTGTTGGAGAAGTATAATGTGGCTTTTCATAAGTCATCCACATACCGGCCGCAAACCAACGGAGCAGTTGAGGCCGCCAACAAGAACATCAAGCATATACGGCGGAAGATGGTGGAAACCTACCGGGATTGGCCAGAAAAGCTGCCGTTTGCTCTGTGGGGATACCGGACTTCATCAGAACTTTACTGGAGCCTCCATATTATTTGTCTATGGAATGGGCTGTTCTTACCCCATTAAGATTGACGGGTCCCATCGTTACGAGTATTGGCTGAATCCAGATAGCCGAAGCAGATTGTGCAGCAAAGCAGATTCGAAGAACTCATGCTTTTTGATGAAAGAAGACTGAAAGCACTGTACCACATCCAAGGCTATCAACGCAGAATTGCCCGGGCTTTCAACAAGAAGGTTAAGTCCCGGAATCTGAAGAAGGAGACTTGGTGCTCAAAGACAACCGAGCTCCATCCACGACCCAAGGGGCAGTTCAACCTAATTGGACTGGTCCTTACATCATCAAAAGCTATCTCTGGTCAGGGTGGAGCTGTGGTTCTGATGGATCTAGATGGCTTGGAGTTCTCACAACGTCATATGGAAAGTTGAAGAAAATACTATCCTTGAGAGGCTCGCTAGGCGAAAACCCGAAAGGGCGACCATGGAAAATCAGAGCACAAAAAATTAGAAAATATAAAAACTGAGCTCGCAAGGTTGAAAACCCGCAAAGGGCGGCCTTGGCAAAAGATAGAGCGCAAAAGGAGAGTGAAAATACTCGAGTGAACGTCAGCCTGAACTATGTAAGGCTTGATTCCCATCTTTGGGATACGTAGGCAACTTCACCTTGAAGTTCAGTCATAAACTTTTCCCCGATCAACTCTGTCCATTTCGATCATCTCAGTCATCTTTATCCATCAGCATTTATCGTGATCTCCAGTACAGTGCTGTTTAAACTAGGGGCAACTTTCCGTTGCCGCGACGGTGCAAAGTTACTCAGACTAGGGGCAACTTTCCGTTGCCGTGGGGTGCCGCAGTGTTCTTCAGACTAGGGGCAACTTTCCAGTTGCGGGGATCTGGGGTTGTGCATCTTAGTGACAAATTTTCGGCGTGTCCAATTTTAATCCACATCGAAAATGGTTTTGAAAAGTTTTAATAAAAGTTGACTTTGTTCAAATCAATCTTTTTATGACTAAGACCATTTCTGGACCAAAAGCAGAAAATTTTCAGTACCATAACTTTCAATTTCATTGATTTCAAAATAGAGTTCTCCTGCTCTTGCATTACAATCGAGGTTGCTTTTGTTTTTAGTACATTCATAAAGAAAATTTGAAAATGCTAAGTAAGCAATAAATTTGGGGCATAGTTGAATCAAGTATCTCTGCGTCCCCTCCCAGAGCTGGACGAAGCATCTAATGCCAAGCTAGGCCCAACCTGTGCCTCCTCATTGAGCCAATCCAAGCACTCATCAGACAAAGTGCAACTGAAAGTATGAGCATTTACTTGGCTCCCAAGGAGGGCCGGCAATGCTGCAGTGTATCTCATTGGCCCTGTTTTACCCTTTTGAGGAAAGTTTCAAGCATTCCCATACAACGGAAGAGTCAAAGGCCTTCATTCCGGATGCGTTCCGATGCCCAGATTGCCAGAAGTACACTTTGTTGTCGACGAGTTTTGCTTATCGAGTTGTTGTTTTGCTTATCGAGTTGTTTGTCGAGCGGACGTGTTTTGTGTTTTTTGAGTCATTGCGCTCTGTTCAAGCAATCTTTGTCTAAAGTCTTGTTTATTTGCGTTGTCAACATTGTTGTATTTTGCTTATCGAGTTGTAAACTTGCTAAAGATTCTATTATATCTTAGTAAGTTGAGTTGTTTAGTTTGTTGCGTCGGTTCACTACCTGACTTGGTGATTGCACAATGCACATTTCCATTCAAATTCATTTTTGTGCGAAATAAACGATGCGATACGATGCTAAAAATACAAACACCTTTTCAAAAGCTATTTCGTTTCATCATGCTTTACAACAAACAAAGGTACAAGTTTTACAACAAAATAAAACTGCCTAACAATGTGCAAAGTGCTACAAACTACTAGTAAAAATAAAAAAAAAAGAAAAATAAAGCAGGAAATAGCAGCATCAAAATCCTCGGGAGCGGGAACGAGAAGCACGCCTCATCCTCTTCTGCGGGGCAATCTCCGCACCATCATCATCATCTGAGTCGGAGCCGTTATCCTCAGGATCCCCCTCGGCCTCCTCCTCCTCCTCCTCGGCAAATGTCGTTGACTGACGGTCGGTAGCCTCAGCATCCTCCTCCTCCTCATCAGACTCCACCTCCACAACATGAGCCCTGCGTCTGCGGACAGGCCCTCCTCGAGCCCCTCGAAAAGGCCTAGATGGCCCGGATCCTCGGGAAGGCCGGGATGGCCCCGCCCCTGAAAAGGCCCAGATGGCCCAGCTCCCCAAGGAGGCCCAGGCGGCCTGGCCTGCGGCTGACCTGACCATGAAGGCATCTGAAAACAAAGAGTTCAATTCAAATACATCAGTCCAAATATGTACATTGGATGCAGATACAAGCAAAGGCTACATAAAGTGGGTGCATATAAATACAGTATACAAGTGGGGTGTGTGTCAGATGTGCTCTACACAAATAGTCTATCGATGCAGTAGAAATCAGCATGTCATCAGAAGTATGATAAATGCCAGAAAACTGAAGGGTACCTGAATGCCCGCGACAGACAACTGTGCCTCCCTACGCAGGACCATGCCCTCGAGTGTGGCCACCAGTCCAACCACCTCCTCTATGTACCCTCGCGATGGCTGCAAAAATGAGCTCATAATCGTCAGTGAATAGAAAAGTGTCTAAACATCTGAAAGATAAATGAAAAAGTGGAGCATACCGGCGGTGAGTCCGAATCAATGGCATATCGATCACTGGGCATCGGAGGCTCTAGCGGGATCGGAGTCGGAGAGATAGCCCCATACTGCCACGCCATCAACTCAGTAGGCATATCTGGCAATGAAAAAGTGGAGCATACCGGCGGTGAGTCCGGATCAATGGCATATCGATCACTGGGCATCGGAGGCTCTAGTGGGATCGGGGTCGGAGAGATAGCCCCATACTACCACGCCATCAACTCGGTAGGCATATCTGGCCATCCGACATGAGGATGAACCGACGGAGCCGGAGGAACCGGTCTACTCCCATCTCTAGATGTACCGGCCCTGCTAGTAGAAGGGGCGTCTGCAGCCCGAGCCTGAGCCTGGCCCGAGGATGACATACCGGCAGGCCTCATCATCGGGATACGAGCTTCCGTCAATGGAGGCATCAAATATATGTGACGGTAAGTGGCGTAGTCCCCCTCCTCAATGTATAGTAAAGCATCAGTACCCAGCATGGCGCCGACTACCTCTGAGTAAGAGAGTCTGTCAGCGGTCCGCATACTGGCTGGGGGTACTGCGGGAATATCCTGAGAAAGATACCCCCATACCTGGCGCAGAAAGCGCTCCCCCAGGAACCATGCCCTGCCAACCGGCCCTTCGAGCAGGACCCCATACTGGGAGATGTCCGATGCTCCGGTATACTGAAGTCGGAGACCATCACCCAGGGACACCCAGGGCTGCCATGTAATCTGCGGATGACAAATGCATAAACCGATCAAAAATCAGAATGTACAGAGCAAATCAAAGATGAAAATGAAAAGAACTGAAAGTTCTGAGTACCTCTGAATGTCGCACAGTGTCGAACATATATATGGTGAAATTAATTATATTTGTATATTAATAATGATGGATATTACCTTTATATTAAGATTTTTTCACAAAATTTTCATACATAAAAATATAAGTCGTCGTAGTTACTTCATTTTCAATAAAACAATTACTATTGTTTTCATAAATTTAAAATTGCCCTTGATATTTTATTCTAAATATTATTTTTGTTTAAAATTTTATTTATATACATAAAAAAAAAAAAAAAAAACCAAAAGGGGAAAAAAAAAAAAAAAGAAAAAAAAAAGAAG